AGTAAATGTACTTGGTCCATGCAGCAAGTGTGTAGGAGGCGACAGCTCACAGGCTGTGGGCCGCCCGCAAAACGGGAACACATTTGCACGAGGCAAAGCCTCGAGTCGCGTTAATCGCGTTCGTACGTTCGTAGTAGGGGTGGGCACCTTATACTGTCACTATTACATCTCACCTACCTGCAACCCCGACAGGCGTCGGCCCTCCCTCGCGAGCGCCGAGACATCGGCAGCCTGATCGGCGCGGGCATCAACGCGACTCGCAACGCCGCCCTGCTCGGCCTCAACGTCGGCGCCAAGGCGACCAGCGCCGCCGCGAACGTGGCTCGCGCCGGCATCAAGGCGGGCGAGAAGGCCGAGCAGAGCGCCCTCGCGGTGAGCCGCCAGGCCCTGGAGACGAGCATCAACGCCGCGCGCTCCATCATCAACGGCGTCGAGTCCGGCGTCGGCCGCGGGCTCAACGCCACTGGCTCGGTGTCCGGCAGCGCCGCCAACGCGGCCCGCTCCGCCATCTCCACCGCCCAGAACGCCGCCAGCTCCGTGGGCCTGGGCAACGTCGCCCAGACCGTCGGCAACGTCGCCCGCACCAAGGTCAACGCCACCCAGGCTATTGTCGGCCGCGCCGTCAACGCCGGCGCCCTGGGCAACGGCCTCGTCGCCGACCTGGCGAGGACTGGCCTGAATGCCGGTGAGCAGCTCGGAAACCTGGGAATCGACACTGCCGGCACGGCCGCCGACGGTGCCCTCAGTATCGCGCGTACCGGCGTCGATGCAGGTGAATCAGCGGCCAACATCGCCATCCAGACCGGCCGTAACGCCACCGACCTGACCGCCGACGCCGCTCTGCGGGCCATTGGCCAGTAAGCAGACCACGAAGAGTTTCGAGCTAGGGATCATCGCAATCGATGAACATGACCAACAACCCACCTGCCATCCCAATAAAACATCTCAAAACGGAAATGTTGTTGTTGTTGATGTACTTGATTAATTGGGCTGGCTGCATCATGGGGTCCCTGTTCCTCTGGCAATACTGTCTGCCAAAATGTAACGAGACTTTCAGGTGGGAGTGGGTGGCGAGCCCAACCCCAGCTACTTCAACTTCAAAAAGGGTTTGCACGACTGCTTGTTCATAGCGAACTGACTGGAGCCACCCATAACTTGGGTTACGCAGTCAGGCCACGGTCGGCCCATCCCCTGCGTTTCAGCTAGTGCTGGTACGGACGGGGGTGCACAGCCCGTCGCGACGCACCGTATTCACTGGTCGCCGTCTGCACTCTGTTTTAGCTCAGGCTGATACGGCGGTCCCGACTGTACGTGTCCCCATCGCCTCAGTGGCGGTCGG